TATTCTAGGTTTGATTTCCCATTTCCAACATGAAATATTAGATACTGTAGATTCTATAAAAATGCTAAGCTTTTATATTGCTTCTGTTTGTGATTCTAGTTAGTATTCCTATTTTGTTAGTCTCATACAACTGATCAAAACATTTAAAAATAGAATCTTCTATTTTCAAAATCCCTTTATTAACATTTTTCAATGACATCCTCAAATATGTGATGTATAACACTACTTTTTTTCTAACAGTGATATAAAGTTGATGGATGTTGAGATATTTGAAGAACAAGGATGTTAATAAAACCTTGTTTTTGAGATTTCAGGCACTATTGTTGCTGCTGTAGCACAAATACCAAGCACAGATACTATTTACACCAGTTTCGTATAAAACAGTGTAAGCAGCACAAGTGCAAAGTGCTCCGCAGCCATGTAAGCCATACGTATATAAATGGTGCAGCTACACTAGTGGGTGAAATCTGTGTCAACACGGTCTTAAAAGACTTGCAAACATAGAAGTTGCTTCATTCTGTGAAAATAACTGGGCTGTACTCTGATTTTACATTAGCGTAATCCAGAGTAACTTCAAGGGTCTATAAAGGTACTTTAGATTTACATCAGTGTGGGATCTGTACCTGGTTCAACTTGTTCAAGTGAGTGGGTTTGTCTTTTCATTTAAATATCAGACTGATTATAGTACGGGATCTATGCTATCTTTTTATTTTGTTATTTTGTAAGGCATGTTTATTTCAAAGTTTTATAATACTATATGTGATGCCCTAAGGTTTACTCTTGTGCTCCTGTAACATTGCTTTCATAGTGCACCCAGGACAGGAGTTTTCTTTGTAGTAATAAGAGATATTGAAAGCCCTTGATTCCCAGTCAATTCAGGCAGACAGAGTTCAGGATGCTCACACTAGTGCTTAGCGCTCTGAAGGATCAAGCCCATAACCAGGAGCCAGATGTGTTCCTTGAGGCATTTTATGATATCGATAACCTCAGGGCAATATATATTTTTCCAGTATACAGTTAGTATTTGTCGTTTCTTTTTAGTTAATCATTTAATCTCCCTATCATCTGCCAATATTTCTTTCTGCCACCTAATTGGTTTTCATGTTCATTTTATTTTTAGAAATTTTTAGAGGCAAGTACATATTAATAAAATATATACAAGGTAGCAATTTAAATAATAAAAACACTACCAAAGGCCATTTAATACTTTTTATTTCTTTGTTCACATTTTTTTCACAGATTTTCCATTGACCCACAAGATCTTGCTTGGTCATCTAAATTGTTCTTTCTAAACTGAAAAAAAATAAAAATGAGAATAATGACAGTGAGTCATCAGATGTGGTTGTGGCATCCTGGGATTTGAACACATGTAACTAAACCACAAGACAATCAAAGATAAACATTTCAGAAATGTAATTACAGGACACATTTGGATTTGTGGTTACAGGAATGTTGTTTTACATTTTGCATTTGTCACTTGAAAAACAGTTTGGATGACCATCATTGGGTGACACAGAAGGAAGCATGTTCACACTGTGTTGTGCACTGGCAGATTGTCTACAAGAGCTTCACATTCACATGCTATTTGTTTTTTGGCCATTAATATTTGATTGTTCACGAGCTGTTAAAATGTCAAAAAATATTGGGAGGTTCACTTTCTTAGACTCAAGTATTTTATTTAGTTCCAGTAATTTTGACTCCCACTTCCCCAGTAAAACCATTCAAATTTGACTCACCTCTTCTAAAATATTTCAAGTCTTATTTATGTTTATTTGTGGATTCATAGATTGTAAGGTCAGCTGGAACTGATGTGATACTCTAGTCTGACCTCCTATATAGTATAGGCCATAGAACCGCCCAAAATAGTTCCAACTGGAATTATTTTGGGGAAATCCTGTGGCTTATACAGAAGACCAGACTGTGTGATCACATAGGTCCCTGCTGGCCTTGGAATATATGAATCTATACATCAATATAGGAGAGACTTTCAATGTTTTCTAATCTATCATTGCAGACATCACTGGGCAAGGGAAGCAAGACAAGGCAGGAAGATCCTCCATAGAAATAGAATTTGGCCAATCTGTCCTATGGGCATAAAGAAATACCACTGTAGCATTCCAGGTCTATTAATATTGCAATGTTGACTTAGAAATAATTTTCAGTCAAAATTTATAGATGCAAATCAAATAAAACAAAGACCTAAGGTTCCTTAGGTCCTCATTTGGGTTATAATTTGCTTGCACTGATTTTACTCTGGTGACAAAACTTCTATTGATTTCAATAGGATAAGGATTTCATCCTGTGACTTCACCTAAGTTACTCTTCATTTCAACCTGTGACTTCACCTAAGTTACTCTTCAGTTACACAAGTGTGAGATAAGAATTGGGCCTTTGCTTTTTTTCTTTTCCATTTTTTAGATATACAGATGCAAGGTAACTGTAGTAAAGCAAATATGTATGCATATGCAGACTATGAGGCTAAACTGAGAACCTTTTGCTGACACTGGGAGAGCAGTTACTCATAGGAATAGTCCAACTGAACTAAATGAGAATGCCTACTAAGCAGCATGACTAACAATGGCAGAATCTGGCCCTAGAAGGTCTTGTGCACAAATAGGCATGTGCATGTATTCATTTGCAATCACATTTTTTCATGTGAATGTTGGTTTTCTGAATGCAGTTACTGTTTATGTATATTTTGCAGGTTCAGCTTAAGCCTTGTTTGCAAATGTATCTTTTCATTTGTAAGGATAGTTCAATAAACTATGTTTTTATATAGAACTTTTCATCTAAAGACATCAAAATACATGGAATAATT